TGCAAATCTCAGATCTTGCGATCTAGAGTATGCTCTGAATCTGATCAATCCGAATATCTGATCATCTATCTGAAATTTGATCAAATTCAGATTGATTTGTTTGTATTACAGGATTGACCAGATAGAAACTGGATTTTTTGATTGATCTAATGATGTGTTTCAAAATACGAGATTTCTGATCATTGCCATTTTTGAAAGCTGGGTTATATAGGTTATACAGAGTGCCAGGACTGCATAAATTAAAAAAAAACAGGAAACAAATTTTTTGTGAAATGGCAATCACTAAAAAAGGAAATAATCAGCATTATAGTTGCATAAAATGTAAAGGAATATGGAAATTTAAAAATAGAAAAATTTTTTGTAGAATGGCTATCATCAAAAAAGGAAATTGATCGATATACATGTACGCATACAAATTAAAAATCATGTAATTTTTCGTAATTTTCATAATTCCGCTCAAAATTTATAATTCTAGTCAGAATTATGAAAATTGATCAGATTATACTGGATAATTTGAAATCTGATAAATAGAAATCTGGATGATTTAAAATTTGACCAGATCAGATGCCAGATTGATCAGATTTCACCAGAACTAACCTCTACTATGACTTAAACACTAATAAGCAAATGTAGAGTAATGCATTGACTGACTAGCCGAAAGACATGAGCATATGTAAGGTTGTTTATAGTTACTTATGATCTTCAGAATATACAAATGATCTTTAAATAACACAATTATTCTAATTTCATAAATTAAAAAGCAAGATAATAATAAGATGAATTTTTTTTTAAAAAAAATATCCTAAAGACTTACCTTTAAAAACTAAGATTTAAAGAATCCAAAAACTATAAGAAGAAAGTAACTGTATTTAGTATTTTTTTTTTTAAAAAAAAAAAATTACTTAATAATAATTTTTTAGAATTTACTATTGATCTAAGGCCAATAACTACAAAAAAGTAAATATAGTTAGTAGTTAGATAATTTTTTTTTTAAAAAAAAAATTTTCTTTTATAACTGATTTCTGATAATCTAAGAATAGAGTTCTGGACGAGTCAAGTTAATTCATAAGTTAAATAAGCTGAGTCAAGTTTAAATCAAATCAAGTTTATGTTTTTTTGACTCAAATGATTTGTGAATTATGTCAAATTCAAGTCAAGTTAAATATTTAACTCGATTTGATTTAAACTCGACTTGACTCGAATTAATTTAAGTTGACTTAAAATTGATTCTTGATTTTTATATTCCCTTTCCTTTTCCTCTGATATTTTCTTATTATTTTTTTATTTATCTCTTTTCTTCTCCTTTTTTCTGAATTTTTTATTTTTATTTTTTAATTTTTTTTTAATTTTATTTTTAAATTTTTTTTTTTTTTTATAATTTTTTTCATTTTTTAATTTAATTTATTTATTTTTTTTTCTCCCGAACTTTTTATTTGTTTTTAATTTTTTTTTTAATTTTTTTTTAAATTTTTTTTTTATTATTTTAATTTTTTGCGTTTTTTGTTTTTGTTTTTGTTTTTTTTTAATTTATTTATTTATTTTTTTTTCTCCTGAACTTTTTATTTTTATTTTTAATTTTTTATTTTTTTTTTTCAAATTTTTTTTTTTTTATTATTTTAATTTTTGATTTCTTTCCTTTTCCCTTCGATTTTTTCTTATTATTTTTTTTATTTATCTCTTTTTCCCCTTCTTTCTCTCACATTTTTTATTTTTGTTTTTAATTTTTTTTTTAATTTTATTTTTTAAATTTTTTTTTATCTTTTTCATTTTTTGTATTTTTGTTTTTGTTTTTTTTAATTTAATTTATTTTTTTATTTTTTCTTCCGAACTTTTCATTTTTTTTTTTAATTTTTTTTTTAATTTTTTTTTTTAAATTTTTTTTTTTTTATTTTAATTTTTTGTGTTTTTGTTTTTGTTTTTTTTAATTTAATTTATTTATTTTTTTTTTTATTTTTTTTTTAAATTTTTGATTCCCTTCTCTTTTCCTCTGATCTTTTTTATTATTTTTTTTATTTATCTCTTTTTCCTCTTCCCTCTTCCGAATTTTTTGTTTTTATTTTTAATTTTTTTTTAATTTTATTTTTTAAATTTTTTTTTTTTTCTTTTTCATTTTTTGCATTTTTATTTTATTTTTTTTAATTTAATTTATTTATTTTTTTTTCTCCCGAATTTTTTATTTTTGTTTTTAATTTTTTTTATTTTTTTTTTTAAATTTTTTTTTTTAATTTTAATTTTTTGCGTTTTCGTTTTTATTTTCATTTTTTTTAATTTAAATTTATTTATTTATTTTTTTTCCTGAACTTTTCATTTTTTTTAAATTTTAATTTTTGCGTTTTCATTTTTGTTTTTTTTAATTTAATTTATTTATTTATTTTTTCTCCTGAACTTTTCATTTTTGTTTTTAATTTTTTTTTTATTTTTTTTTTAAATTTTTTTTTGTTTTAATTTTTTGCGTTTTCGTTTTCATTTTCATTTTTTTAATTTAAATTTATTTATTTATTTTTTTTCCTGAACTTTTCATTTTTTTTAATTTTAATTTTGCATTTTCATTTTTGTTTTTTTTAATTTAATTTATTTATTTATTTTTTCTCCTGAACTTTTCATTTTTTTTTTAATTTTTTTTTATTTTTTTTTTAAATTTTTTTTGTTTTTTTTAATTTAATTTATTTATTTATTTTTTCTTCTGAACTTTCACTTTTGTTTTTAATTTTTTTTTAATTTTATTTTTTAAATTTTTTTAATTTTTTATATTTTCGTTTTTTTTTAAATTTAATTTATTTTATTTATTTTTCCCACCCAAACTTTCATTTTCGTTTTTAATTTTTTTTTTTATTTTATTTTTTTATTTTAATTTTTTGTGTTTTTGAACTTAACTCAACTTGAATAAATTCAAGTCAAAATTGAGTCAAATTAAAATCAAGTTGAGTCAAATTAAGTCGAGTTTAAAATTTATATAACTCAAATCAAATCAAGTTAAAAGATTTTATAAAATAAATTTGATTCGACTCAACTCGAAAAAATGAGTCAAATAAAGTTGATCTTTAAACTCGACTCGATTTGACTCATTCAGAACTCTATCTAAGAATTAAAAAATCAAAGGATAGCTATAAGAAGGTAAGTAATTATAGTCATTTTGATTTTTTCTTAAAAAAAATTAATAAATTTTGTTATAAAACTTACTTCTAAACAGATATAAGGCTTAAAAGGTTGCTACATTAAAGAATAGCTACAAAAAGATAAGCATAGTTTGTAATTAAATTCTTTTATTTCTTAAAAAAAATTAATAAAATTTTTTTGTAAGACTTACCTTCAGATGGATCTAAGGCTTAAAGGATCATTACATTTATAAAAAGGTAAGTATAGTTATTAGTTAGTTGTTTGATTTTTTCTTAAAAAAAAATTTAATAAAATTTTCATTTATAGAACTTATCTCAAAATAATCTAAGGCTTACAGAATTCAGTTTCATTTCATTATATAAATAAGGTAAATAAAATTAATTTTTCATTCTTCATAAATTTACCTTAGATTAAAGTAAATTAGTATTTATTAAATAAAAATAAACATTTCTAATAAACTTACTATTTGTATCACAAAAACTCATTTATTCCATATATTCTAAAAGACAAATTAGCAAGATCTATTGCAAGACCAACCCACATATAGTTTTACTATATACTGAATATTTTAAAGAAAGAAGTATATATAATTAGCACATTAATGTATAACATGTTTTCTAAATTTAATTAGCTCAATATTACATGATAATTACCATTGATCAGCCAATGAAAATAATTAATTTGTCTCAAATGTCCTAAACATAAAAATTTTATGTTTATATTCATAGGACAGTCTGGAATCAGACAGTCCATATTCATGCTCATGTTCTATAACAACACTATCTTATTGGATATTATCACCTTTGAATAGAAGGCTCACTTCAACTATAGTATTATCAGGCTCTATTTTTACTAATCTAATTTATAGGATTTTACCTTATTGATGACTACTGAAACTGTAAGATCAGATCTTTTATATAGATAGAAATCAAATCCAATCTCTAATTCTAGTGATAATTTAATTCAAAAGGTACTGCAGTATGTAATGTAATTTATTATTACTTAAATATTATACCTTTTGCAGTAAATTCAAATCTACTAATTACTGGTTCATTTTCTTACTTGTATAAGGACCTCTGTATTTAAAGACGTGAGACAGTATCTATTACAAACCTGTTAGCGAAGACTAAGTTTTTGTCAATCTCTGTTCTTTAAACCTAATATTTAAGTATGATTAATATCAATCGATAAATTGATCGACTAATATCTAATGTTTATTAGTCTAAATGCTCAAGTGTTCAGTTACATATAAAATTCTTATGAAAATTATCTAGTTTTATGTCTCAGCTGAAGTCTGAACCTGTGACTATCGTAATATAACTTACAATAGGAACTCATATCTTATAGATTAAGCCAGGATCACTAATCCTAAAGATATTCTGACAAATTTTTTTTTTTGAAGTGCAGTAGTTTTACATGATCTTTATTAAATTTATATAATACTAAGTACATATAATAAAATAGAAAATACAAAAATATCTATAAATTAATTTATAAACTAAATTACTTTATCAATACCAATCTTGCATTTTATTGAACTAAACTATAAATAGAAAAGAAAAAAAAGAAAACCTAAACTAAACTAAGCTATAATACAGTTATTAAATATTTAGAAGGGAGAGCGTGATTACTTTATTCTAAAAATTTGACCAATGAGAGCCATAGGCGCAAGTCACTGAAAAGAAGTTAGAGTTAGATATTAAGAGAAGGAAAGAGAAGTATGAAAAACTAGAAGAATAATGTTATTAAGATCGGCATTTCTCTTTATCTATATCTTATGATAAGATATGGAGATATTTTGATAAAGTGATGATAAAAGATCATGTGATAAGCTGTTTGAGAATAGACAGGCTAAGACATTGTCAGACAAGAATATTGATATTATGCCTTTGATTAAATCTAGAAACAAAAAATCATTTGATGTAAGGGATGAATTCCAGATGGCAGTTGAAGATATTTCATCTATAAGAGAGTTATTATTAAGAGTATTTAACTTAGTAAAGTGGATAATAAATGTTGTTTTATGTAAAGTGATCAAGTTGAGGATATTCGGTCATTCTTTGGACAAAATCAGAGGTGTTTAAAATTTTTCAGTTTGTATATAATAATAGAAATATTATAGTGAAAGGTATGTGTCTAGTATACAAGTATATATAGCCTTGAAGCCATGATCCGTGACTGTGCTAAAAATAAGTCATGTGATCTAAATGATTGACATAGTTGATGAAGTTGACAAAGTTGCTAAAGTTGTCAATATTGATCAAGTTGACATATTAGATAAATGAATTATATTTATTATATTTATTAATTATATCTTATTTACTATATATATTATATTTATCATAGTTATATTATTTATTATCTTTATTATATTTGTTATAGTTGATTTTATATTATTTTATTTTATATAAATATCTTGTATTTTCTCTTGAGTTGAAAAGTAACTCAAGTTAAGGTTTTAGGATAAACCAAGAGTTCAATAAAGGAATCGTTAAATTCATTTACTATTGCCTTTTGTTGTATCTTCATATAGACGTGATTGTGATATTATTTTGTATTTAATTCAACAGATTGAATTAAAAGTTTATTATTTAAGTTTACAGATACCAAGCCAACAACCTTTAAAGTTAGAAGCATTTGAAGTAGCATTTTGATTTTAAATTTCTTTTTGAAGCATCCTATAAAGGATGTTTTATGAGAGAATATTTCATCATTTAAGATCTTGAACAGGAGAGACCAGTCTATAGATTTGTTACAATATCTGTCTAAATATGATAGTGAAAATAAGGATTCAACTCAAACAGCTTGCAATTTATTCTTAATAAAAAGATGATAAGGAGCTATAACTGGAGTTAAATTGTGGCAAAGGTAATATCCAGAATCCAGACGTTCTTTATTGATAGATAATTATTAGGCAGATACTTGTTTCGCTAATTTATTGATAGTATTATTAAGAAAATCATCACCGTGAGCTTATAATTTAGTGAATGAAATGGAAATATTATTTTATACAATGAGGCTAAATAACGTTGACTAAATGTGAAAATAAGGTATTTTGAAAGCAGGATTGATAAATAAGGAGTCATAAAAAAGGAAAGAAAGTTTCTGGAAGAAAGAGATAGCAGCTTGTGAATCAGTACAGATTTCAATGTTAGAGTTTGAAGGTAAAAAATAGACTGCAGCTAATATAGCGACAATTTCTGCAAGAGTAGAAGAAGGATTTTGTGATAACAGGGTGGTATTAAAAGAAAGTAAGGGTTAATTTAAATCAGTTTATAACTACACTATATCCAATCAGCAGTTTGAAGAATCTAGAAATATTAAAGAACTATCTATATAAAATTGGAGAAAAGAAGCAGAAGCAAAGTTAGATTTAAGAGTATCAAGTAAATTAATGGAATAAATGTTAAATGGTAAAATATTAAATTTGGCAAAGGCCTTATTAAATATTAAAATGGATTAGTAAGTTTTAATAATACTATCTCTCTTAACATAAAATCAGAAAAACTACATCTTCATCCTATATGTTTATTGTATTAGATTTTGATTTCTGTGCAGTATTGTAATAGAAGTTACATGACATAAAAATTGTAGATATTTTTTTGAATAGTTATAATAATGGCTGTAGAATCGAAAAAGTTACATCTATTACATAAATTGACATCAGCTCTGAAGTTTGAATCATATGTGGTTATATAATATTATATGTAAATTGTATTATTATCTATAGCTTTGACTTTTCTAAATATATAAGTCATATATTGGTTAGACCAAATAACTATAAAGGTGGGATTATTGTTGTTATTCTCTTTTAACTGAATGGTTATTAAAGATAGGTTACAGATTGATAGGTGGGTGAGCAGATTTGTGTCATGTTTCTGAAAAAGATATTGGATAAAAGTTGAGACTCTAAAATTTAAAACTAATTTGCATGTGATATATTTGTATTGTAAAGCCAATTGATATCAAAGAATGTGAAGAGATAATATCCATTCATAGAGATAAGTTAATTTACATACATAATTAAAAGAATGTGAATGTTTTTTACAGACTTTCTGTAGGTGTTATTAGGTAGAATTGATGAAATAGGTATAACCACTCATGATTAGAGTAAGATCAAAGATTTTATCCAAGAATATTTCAAACTTAAGATCATCTAGTTTAGCTGCTGAAAGAAAGGCTGACCACCAGTTTTTAAAATTAGAAGGATTGTTATAAGGCCAACTGGTAATTGGTGACAGATGTAACCATTCCATAAGCTAGAGTTGCATGATTCTCAATCTAGCAGTATTTCTTAATAGAGCAATGTCATTTATCATTTTCAAGAAATCAGAAGATTTGGCTAATATTTGTTTGTCATAAAGTTGAGCCAAGTTGTATCCAATAGTTAAATGAATAATAGGAAATGGTAAAGATTTGGTAAGATGAAGTTTGTTTTTGAAAAAAGCTCTAAAGAAGGCTATCATTATGTTGCAAACTGTTGCTAGTAGAAAGGTTAATTTGGTCTTGTAAATTATTCAAAAAATGATTACAGAGTTAAAGACTGTAACAATTTGTTTTGCTATAAGCTATTTCTTATCTAATACATTTTTAACTTTTTTGAATTCTAATGAAACTTGGTTTTTGATATATGTAGTGTTATCAAAGAGTGATATTTAAACTCTAAGATAATGAGTGGAGTCTTTGTGGGAGAGTGGTAAAAGCCAGATATTCTTGTCATTAAACACAAAGTTAACAATACTAGTGCTTTTGATATTTATCATCAAAACTGACTTATTTTAATTTACTTGAATACTGTTGAAGATATAGAAAGAGTTTGCAATAGCCATTATATTTTGAAGATCTACTCTATAATCTGCCATTCAGAGGGTATTATTCATATAAATAAGTATTGATACATAATTTAAAAATTGGTCTGTTAAGCGCTTAGTAATATCTTTTTTTCAATTAACGCTTTGAGTATATTCTAATGAAAAGTTTTAGATTTTGTATAATAATAGATTATAATATATGCATTATAAGATGAAAGAAATAATTTCTCCTTGATCTATGCCTGAGAAGATGTAGTAAGCATTAGTATTACCATGTACAGTAAAAATTTGACTGAATTGTGAGGTAAAAATTGAAATTATGAGGTGAACAAAAGTCATGGAAAGATACAGTATAATCTAAGTAAAACCCTAATCAGCATCCTAAGATTGACTCTATCATACACCTTTGACATATCTTGAAAAAGGATCCAAAGATTATTATGGTGAAATGATGCATCATATTTGATATTATCTAGAATATTAATTGGTTCAAAGATTCTTTTGAAGGGAAAACCAGCAAAGTTGTTACCTTTCAGAATATTGTTTTTAGCTAATATAGTAAGAAGGTGACTATTAATGAGCTTGATAAGTACCTTTCTGAGACATTCTAATAAGATAATCAGTCTGGTATAGTTAAAATTAAACTTCTATAGTTTTAGTTTTGGAATTGGATAAACGAAGGCCAAATTCCATTTGTGAAGGGTCAAGATGTTTTAATATTTCATTTGATATCTTAAAAAGACTAGAAGCCTTACTATTAGGTAAGGATTTAATGATGCCAGACTATTCTTCTTTTGTAAAAGATTGTATGAGAGAGTCATAAATAGTAGGATTAACATCTTCTAATGATGCATATTCATCTTTCCATAAATCTGAAACTGATGAGTTAAAGTATTTAAAGCTGATGATTTATTGAAAATGACAAGCTGTTTCTCTTTTAACATTCATAAGATCTGTAAGTAGCTCTTTATCTGAGCTATTATTATTAATATATTAGTCTAAGAGAATAGTAGTACAAGAACAATCAAGTAAAGAGTCAAATATGACTAATTTATTAGTAGTAAAATTCTCATATCTACGTTCTATCGCTTCTTGAATAAATTTTGATTTGTATTCTAACTCTTGTATTTTGCAGTAGCTATTAATATTTTCTTAAGGTCCTTGAGAACAGGTGACATTAATAATATAAAATTCAAAGCCTTATTTGTTATCAAAACTTCTATTAGAAAGACATGTTTTGGAAGAGCGTTCCAGTTTATGTAGCAGTTTAATACATTTGTATATTAATTTAAGTAATTTTGGTCTGAGATCATGAATATGATGAGAGAAGTGTTTGTTAGGAATACATTTTAGTGTGGTATCTATAATGGCTTTTAGAGGAGATTCCATATGAAATTAAGTTTATGAATGTTAGAAATGCTATCTAGATTCACAGAGCTTAATCTTGACTTTTGCGAAATTAGACCAGTTATCATCTGTTAGATCATGATACAAAAATACAAGTTTTTCATCATTGAAGTATTGATAAAGATTGGGTTGATTGAAATAAAGGCTATGAAAGTAGATATAATAAAATGGTTTAAGAAAGATGTATCTACAGGAATGACTTGATGGTTATTGAAATTTGAAAGTAAGAACGAAGCAATAAAATGTAATCAATAGTTGAATGTGAAGATCCTTGAATATACGTATAGAGATCATTAATATTTCTTACTATTTTAATAAAATTGTAAGTATTGATGAAGTTGTTATTTATAATGTAATCAATAAATTATTTAGAATGCGAGAGGTAATGAGATCTGGACAGATCAGTATTAAAATCCCCTAAAATAATGATATAGAAATTAGCACAAATAGCTTCTTCTATGAGTACACACACATATTGTATTATTTTTAAATGAAGGGGTTTTTTAGAATATGATAAGTAAATGTTAATAACTCTAAATTTATTTTTGTTTTTAAATTGAAAGTTGAGAAAAAAATTCGATTGAAATAAGATAAATAGTAAAAAATATGGTTAGTGAGGTATTTCTTAATAAGAAATTCTACACCAAAGTCTGAATGTTGAGCATCAGCATCAGCATCAGTGAAAAAGAATGGTATAAATTTGTTATTGCAAATAGTTTTAAGAGGAAAGTAATAGAGTGAAGTAGTGAAATTAGTTTCTTATAATACAATAATATCTAAATGATTGATAGAATAAAGGTCAACTAAAAGTTGTTATTTAAGTAGGTCGAGAAGTGAACGAGTATTGTGAGTTGTAAT